CTCAGGTAAGGTGTCAAACTGTTCTTAAACGGTTTGACTACTTACTCTGGGAGGGGGTCCCGGCACTATTGACACCATAACCACTACACTGAGCTGTAGTAGTTATTGTGTCTGGATTATTTCTTTAAATAATCTACAAGTGCCCCTCCCGAGATCAGGCTCTGGATCCGCCACTGGTGTGAGGGCTGCTTGTGGAATTGTGTGTGTGGATGAATGTGTCACATTGTGTGTTTGGTAGTGTGTGGGGGCTGTTTGGGGTATTGCATGTGGGATTGTGTGCATGTATGTGGATTGTTAGTGGTTTTGCGTTAGTGGGGATTGTGTGTGTGTTTGTGTGTGGGCTGTTCATATTATTTGTATGAGGGAAGAGTTATTCTGCAGCTCTGTGTATATCTAGCAATGTGGGTGGCTTCCCTGGGGTCCAGTGGAGACCAGTCTGGCCAGGTACAGGTCAAGGACAGGAGCTGCAATAGCTGTCGAGGGCTGCTCTACTACAGTGTGGATTCCCATTCACAAGTGCTGGGAGGAAGTGATCTGAGATCACTTCCTCTACGTTCTGCAATGCATAAACTGAGGATTGTCCTTCACCACCTCTTCGTATTAGCAGATATCTGAAGTTTTACTGGGACTCCTGATAGGCCAGAGCCTGTTTGGCTCTAGCAGCCTTGAGTGCCGTGCAATGACACCTCGAGTACCGTGCGTGGCACTAGTGCCGTAGGTTGCCTCCCCCTGTCCTACCTGTTGGTGACCGTTGTCCATGACGATGCAGTGACATCGATGACACAGTGATATTTATTCTCACTATATTATTTAAAGCCGGACAAACAAGTTACGCTGGAGTTACTGTGCTTAAAACTCTCTTATATTATCTATGACACCCATGTGACAGTGATAGACGCAATAAAATATTGTCATTAATCAGATAATGGCATGACGGGTGTATTTTAGATTGGTGTTAAGCTTACTGTCCAACTTCTACAAACGTGTTAAATCCTAGCTCACAAAACAATAGGGAAATCACAAAAGGTTTCAAATAAACGATAGGATGAAGAGACTAGAGAACAGCAAAAAAAATTTTTATTCTTGCCACTGCCCTATAAACCAATTTGAATTGACACCAAATAATATTCAGAATCCAGCACTGTTACAAGCTCTGCTTGTGGGGTGCATTCACAAAAACAATGAATGCAAAATCAATTCGCAAAATATATAGACAATTGGAAGTTGTGAACTTGTGACTATAGAATAGATGAAGATTTTATTATATCGGCTTATTTTCCTAAATTTTGCACATTGGGTTTCAGTTCACTACCAGCCAGTGTTTAGTGGATAGACCACTAGGATTAAAAATATGTGAGTGATAAGACCCCAATTTGGTCATAAAATTCAATCAGAAATTCAACTAAAGCTACAACCATAGGCAAACACAGTAGGCTTAATGAAGTAACAGACATATAATAATGTTTTAATGCCTTTATTAAATACACCATGAAACCATTCACAGTACAAGGTGAAAATTGTCAGCTCCATAACAAAATAGGTACAGAACCTAGAATAGCAATAGATGGAGAGTATATTAACTGAGCCTTAGAATACTCAGCTTCCTGATAACAGATCTCAGAACATGTAGTACAGAGACTGCCTAGATCTAATGCAAGGGTAGGCAACCTTCAGCACTCCAGATGTTGTGGACTACATTTCCCATAATGCCCTGACAGTCATAATGCTAGCAAAGCATCAGGGGAGATGTAGTCCACACAACATGATGTGCTGAAGGTTGCCTACCCCTGATTTAATGAATGGTGTAATCAGGTTAAAGGGTATAGATTCAGGAAGGTTTAATAAGATGGATTGAGAAGATCTAAATACAGTCCAATAAAAATATGAATAGGACACTCTACAGTGAGAATTATATGGAACTGTTACAATTCCTAGCAATTCCATCTTATAAGGAAGCGGTGTAGGCAATAGCAGGGAATGGAGGGCATGGGCTGTCCTGGGCGGCAGGTGGGAGGGGGTGAACACATTGTATGGGTCTCACCTGTTACTCTTTGTAGTATGGCCATGTGGTACCCAGGTACCGAAGATTGTATCTGACTGTGTATGTCTGATTGTGTGCCTGTGATGGTTTGTGGCATGGTGAATGTGTGTGACTGTGTGCAATTTTGTGATTATATGTGTTGTGCTTGTGTGTGATTAGGTATCTGTGTATGTGACTGTGTGTGAATGGTTAGGTGGTTGTTGACGACACACAAAAGTAAAAAATTTGTACAGCGTTGGTGCCAACATACGTATCCACCCAGGGTGCCCAGTGAGCTAGCTATGCCTGGAGCAGGTATTGACAGGTAAGTTCTGGCGGATATTCGAAACGTGCAATATTAACGTGGCTGATACAATATTAACATGGCAGATATTAGAAATGTGCAATATTAACGTGGCGGATATTAGAAAAATCGTGCAATATTGACATGGCGCATATTAGAAACGTGTAATATTAACGTGGCGGATATTAGAAACATGCAATATTAACGTGGCAGATATTATAAACGTGTAATATTAACGTGCCGGATATTCGAAACGTGTAATATTAACGTGGCGGATATTAGAAATGTGCAATATTAACGTGGCGGATATTAGAAATGGGTAATATTAACGTGGCGGATATTAGAAACGTGCAATATTAACGTGGCGGATATTAGAAATGTGTAATATTAACGTGGTGGATATTAGAAACGTGTAATATTAACGTGGCGGATATTAGAAACGTGCAATATTAACGTGGCGGATATTAGAAACGTGCAATATTAACGTGGCAGATATTAGAAACTTGGAATACAGGGAGTGCAGAATTATTAGGCAAATGAGTATTTTGACCACATCATCCTCTTTATGCATGTTGTCTTACTCCAAGCTGTATAGGCTCGAAAGCCTACTACCAATTAAGCATATTAGGTGATGTGCATCTCTGTAATGAGAAGGGGTGTGGTCTAATGACATCAACACCCTATATCAGGTGTGCATAATTATTAGGCAACTTCCTTTCCTTTGGCAAAATGGGTCAAAAGAAGGACTTGACAGGCTCAGAAAAGTCAAAAATAGTGAGATATCTTGCAGAGGGATGCAGCACTCTTAAAATTGCAAAGCTTCTGAAGCGTGATCATCGAACAATCAAGCGTTTCATTCAAAATAGTCAACAGGGTCGCAAGAAGCGTGTGGAAAAACCAAGGCGCAAAATAACTGCCCATGAACTGAGAAAAGTCAAGCGTGCAGCTGCCACGATGCCACTTGCCACCAGTTTGGCCATATTTCAGAGCTGCAACATCACTGGAGTGCCCAAAAGCACAAGGTGTGCAATACTCAGAGACATGGCCAAGGTAAGAAAGGCTGAAAGACGACCACCACTGAACAAGACACACAAGCTGAAACGCCAAGACTGGGCCAAGAAATATCTCAAGACTGATTTTTCTAAGGTTTTATGGACTGATGAAATGAGAGTGAGTCTTGATGGGCCAGATGGATGGGCCCGTGGCTGGATTGGTAAAGGGCAGAGAGCTCCAGTCCGACTCAGACGCCAGCAAGGTGGAGGTGGAGTACTGGTTTGGGCTGGTATCATCAAAGATGAGCTTGTGGGGCCTTTTCGGGTTGAGGATGGAGTCAAGCTCAACTCCCAGTCCTACTGCCAGTTCCTGGAAGACACCTTCTTCAAGCAGTGGTACAGGAAGAAGTCTGCATCCTTCAAGAAAACATGATTTTCATGCAGGACAATGCTCCATCACACGCGTCCAAGTACTCCACAGCGTGGCTGGCAAGAAAGGGTATAAAAGAAGAAAATCTAATGACATGGCCTCCTTGTTCACCTGATCTGAACCCCATTGAGAACCTGTGGTCCATCATCAAATGTGAGATTTACAAGGAGGGAAAACAGTACACCTCTCTGAACAGTGTCTGGGAGGCTGTGGTTGCTGCTGCACGCAATGTTGATGGTGAACAGATCAAAACACTGACAGAATCCATGGATGGCAGGCTTTTGAGTGTCCTTGCAAAGAAAGGTGGCTATATTGGTCACTGATTTGTTTTTGTTTTGTTTTTGAATGTCAGAAATGTATATTTGTGAATGTTGAGATGTTATATTGGTTTGACTGGTAATAATAAATAATTGAAATGGGTATATATTTGTTTTTTGTTAAGTTGCCTAATAATTATGCACAGTAATAGTCACCTGCACACACAGATATCCCCTAACATAGCTAAAACTAAAAACAAACTAAAAACTACTTCCAAAAATATTCAGCTTTGATATTAATGAGTTTTTTGGGTTCATTGAGAACATGGTTGTTGTTCAATAATAAAATTAATCCTCAAAAATACAACTTGCCTAATAATTCTGCACTCCCTGTATTAACGTGGCGGATATTAGAAATGTGAAATATTAACGTGGCAGATATTATAAACGTGTAATATTAACGTGGCGGATATTAGAAACGTGTAATATTAACGTTGCGGATATTAGAAACGTGTAATATTAACGTTGCGGATATTAGAAACGTGTAATATTAACGTGGTATTAGAAACGTATAATATTAACGTGGCGGATATTAGAAACGTGTAGTATTAACGTGGCAGATATTAGAAACTTGCAATATTAATGTGGCAGATATTATAAACGTGTAATATTAACGTTGCGGATATTATAAACGTGTAATATTAACATGGCAGATATTAGAAACGTGCAATATTAATGTGGCAGATATTAGAAACGTGTAATATTAACGTGGCAGATATTAGAAACGTGCAATATTAACGTGGCAGATATTAGAAACGTGTAATATTAACGTGGCAGATATTAGAAACTTGCAATATTAACGTGGCGGATATTAGAAAAGCTGAGATTGGGGATGGTTGGATTGAAGTTGCTGAGATTGGGGATTTTGGAGAATGTGGGTATTAAGATGCTTGGCTGGAGAACGTTTATATTGGGGCACTAAGCTGGAGGCTGGTGATAGTCGTATCCATGGTTAGGAAATGCTGATATTAGGGGGTGCATGCTAGGGATATACTCATATAAGGTGGGCATGCCAGGGAAATACTGATATTAGGGGGTGCATCCTAGGAGTACCCTAATATTAGGGGTACATGTTAGGGGAACACTATATTAGGGGGTGCATCCTAGGAGAGCCCTAATATTAGGGGTACATGTTAGGGGAACACTGATATTAGGGGTACATGTTAGGGGAACACTGATATTAGGGGGTGCATCCTAGGAGAACCCTAATATTAAGGGTACATGTTAGGGGAACACTGATATTAGGGGTACATGTTAGGGGAACACATTGATATTAGGGGTACATGTTAGGGGAACACTGATATTAGGGGTACATGTTAGGGGAACACTGATATTAGGAGGTGCATCCTAGGAGAACCCTAATATTAGGGGTACATGTTAGGGGAACACTGATATTAGGGGGTGCATCCTAGGAGAACCCTAATATTAGGGGTACATGTTAGGGGAACACTGATATTAGGGGTACATGTTAGGGGAACACTGATATTAGGGGTACATGTTAGGGGAACACTGATATTAGGAGGTGCATCCTAGGAGAACCCTATTATTAGGGGTACATGTTAGGGGAACACTGATATTAGGGGTACATGTTAGGGGAACACTGATATTAGGAGGTGCATCCTAGGAGAACCCTAATATTAGGGGTACATGTTAGGGGAACACTGATATTAGGAGGTGCATCCTAGGAGAGCCCTAATATTAGGGGTACATGTTAGGGGAACACTGATACTAGCGGTACATGTTAGGGGAACACTGATATTAGGAGGTGCATCCTAAGGGAATACTGACATAGGGGGTGCATTTTAGGGAATTACGATATTAGTGAGTGCATTCTAGGTGAACCCCGATATTGGGAGGTGCATGCTAGCTAGGGGACTCCTGATATTAGGGGTGACACGATAATATGATACTGATATAGGTGGTGCATGCTAGTTTAACCCTGATATTAGGGGGCAGTAAAGCTTTGTAATCCCAGTCTCACATGTTAACCCGTTCAGCGCTGGCATAGAATGCCCATTTCAGGGATGTGAGATCAATCCCCAGACATTCACCCTGTTTCCTGCTGTATCCGGATGTCCCAGGCTGAGGCTCCTCCCTAGTCTGAGCCGGCTGGGGCTGCAGAGAGGACTTGGGAGCTTTGCGGGAGGTGAGTGAGAGTGGAGGTCCAGGTACTTACTGAATATCTGTATGTAGTGCTGGTTACTGGCCAGTCCCACTTTGACAACCTGGTATCTTACAGGAATAGCCTAATAACAGCTCTCAGGACAACTAGTTACATTGTGTCAGCTGATGGAATCATTGCAATCAAAATATTTACTATTTTACATTCTATCAGCTGATTATATGTGGAACTAGAGTCTGATATTGTAACATTGTATCAGTGATTAGATCTGGGACTAGAGTCTCATATTGTAACATTGTATCAGTGATTAGATCTGTGGCTAGAGTCTGGTATTGTAACATGGTATCAGTGATTAGATCTGTGGCTAGAGTCTGATATTGTAACATTGTATCAGTGATTAGATCTGTGACTAGAGTCTGATATTGTAACATTGTATCAGTGATTAGATCTGTGACTAGAGTCTGATATTGTAACATTGTATCAGCTGATTGAATCATTGCAATCAAAATATTTACTATTTTACATTCTATCAGCTGATTATATGTGGAACTAGAGTCTGATATTGTAACATTCTATCAGCTGATTATATCTGGGACTAGAGTCTGATATTGTAACATGGTATCAGTGATTAGATCTGTGACTAGAGTCTGGTATTGTAACATTGTATCAGTGATTAGATCTGGAACTAGAGTCTGATATTGTAACATTGTATCAGTGATTAGATCTGTGACTAGAGTCTGGTATTGTAACATTGTATCAGTGATTAGATCTGGAACTAGAGTCTGACATTGTAACATTCTATCAGCTGATTATATCTGGGACTAGAGTCTGATATTGTAACATTATATCAGTGATTAGATCTGTGACTAGAGTCTGATATTGTAACATGGTATCAGTGATTATATCTGGAACTAGAGTCTGATATTGTAACATTGTATCAGTGATTAGATCTGTGACTAGAGTCTGACATTGTAACATTCTATCTGCTGTTTGAAACTATCCATATTTATGAGCTCGTTTTGCAACATTGTATCAGATGAAAGAAATCTGTTTTCATTTATCTAGTATTGTAACATTGTATCTGCTGATGGAATATATAGTTATTATCTGGTATTGTAACTTTGTATCAGATGAATGAATGCATCTTTCTGTATTATCTAGTTTTGTAACTTTGTATCAGCTGATGGAATCTGTATTGCTATGTTCATGGTGTATTTAGACATTGACTCGTTTTCATGTCAGAATGTGGTCGATACAAGCCATTTTACAGAGTTCAAAAACAGGGCAAGTCGAGTGCTGAAATACTTATCTTTGCTTTCCAGAGGTCTGGCAATCGTAGGGTTAAACCACTATCACCCAGTGGGTCATCAAATAGTCAGTCACCTCTGCATTGTCTAATAGAAGCATGTGTAATATCTGAGATATAATAGTAACGCAGAGACATATCCCCTCCAGCACTCAAAAGGTTAATAACATTTTTTTTAATAACACTGTAAGTCATGTAGCTCACATTTTATATATTTATTTATTTTTAATTGAAAATAAAATATGCAAGCATTAAGGGTAAATAAATATAGGGATATAACCATCAAATGTACAAGTTCTAGGAAGGTCAATTAACCTATGGAAGACAACAATTAGCTTTACAATTGAATAAGTAAAGACTTTATGTTTAAAGGGTTTGGGATGGTATTTTTTTTTTTAAAGACAATGGATACTTTTACAGTGCACCCAGAATTTTGTTTAGGGTATAAAGGGTTAAGAATTGAAAATGCAAACCTCAGTTAAAAGAGTTGCAAATGAAACCGGTCTCCCTACCTGTCCTCTACCTGTTTGGGATTATTGTCATCTCTAAGCTGAAAGGCCCAAGCATTCAAATGGTATTTAGGTCTGTTTTACATTCATCCTTAACAGATCTTGAATCTGAAACGGCATGTTCTTTAACCGCTTAAGGACCAAACTTCTGGAATAAAAGGGAGTCATGACATGTCACACATGTCATGTGTCCTTAAGGAGTTAAAGGACCACACCTGTCTCGAGGAGCATTCTATTAGAGCATTGAAAGAATACAATTAAAATATGAATGGATTAAAATGTAAATCATGGTTTGGGTAGTGACTACACTTAACTCGGATTCACAGACAATCCTGTTGCTTGGATTATCTCCCATTGGTATTAATAGGGAAGTACAGTACATGAGAATGCGATAAGTATTTTGTCTGTGCACTTTGCAACTAACATTAACACAAACCCATCATTTATTTGATAGTGCATTGCTGCATATGTCTTGCTTTAATGTCTCATCCATTATGTATAACTACATGTCCTGCTTGCACTACTTTCCCCTTATTGTGGCGTGGTTTATCAATCTTTGTTTGCTTGTTTTGTTTCACATTTGTTTCACAAGGGGTTGGGAATCCTTGTGGGATTTACTGCTGCCCTCTTTATTGAAGCAAGCGCCTTTAATTGTAAATTTTAATGGAAGCAAGCCATCATGACAACGTTTCGGCCACCAACAGTGGAAAACTGCTGGTTTTAGAAGCACCAGCTCATTATTCTAATTTAACACAGTGGCACGAGGGCAGTCCCCCCCTTTCTGTTTTATAAATTGCCAGGCTGGGACTAAAGCTCAGTTGGAGAATTCTTCCAAAGTGGATATTTAGGCTTAAATTTCACAATAAGTTTTTCTATAATTCACTAATAATTACTGTTCATTGAAGAAAAAAAAAACACAACATCACAGGGCACCCCTAAATGTAAACAAATAAAAATGGATTTGTTCTACAAACTTGCTAGCTCTTAAACGACTCCTATTAGATGATGCGTGGATGAGAAGTAGTTTGGAGGATTGCTGGGGTGGAAATAATGTGATTTCCAGTGTGGGACAGTGGAGCATTTTGTTTAAGAAGGTAAATCTGCTTAGTGTAATAAAAGGCCTTGCTATGTGTAAGGGAATTCACTCCTTGTTGATCCAAGAAGAAAAGCCATTTTGGAGTCAAGAAGGATTTTTTTTGTTCCCTCGTTAGTGGCAAAAATGGAAATTTCTTTAAATTGGGTTTTTCACCTTTTGTGGACGAGCAAGATAAGAGATGCGTGAATGGTTGAATTTGGTTTTGTTTTATCTAATTTACTAGCAATTCCATTTGATTCTGGAATGTTGCTTAGAAAGACCTTGTACAAATGCTGTTAAAAAGGAAAAAACATTTGCGTATTAATCGATATATTACCTTTCACCCTTTTTTTTTTTTTTTTTTAAGAGTTGCCCTGTGTTTCCATGGCTTGGATAGATATTCCCAGAGAGAACCTGTATCTGTCAGAGCAGGTCATAGTGCTTCTGTCCTGCGTACTGTCCTTCATCGGCTCTGCTATTATCATCTTCACCCATGTCCGCTGGCCGGAGCTCAGAAGTCGTCCCCGTGAGCTGCTCCTCTACTTATCTGTGGCTGACCTGCTGTCTGCTGCCTCTTACTTTTATGGAGTCTTGAGAGACTTTAATGGACCCCGGTGGGATTGTGTGGCCCAAGGCGCTGTCTCCACTTTTTCCAACACCAGCTCTTTCTTCTGGACAATGTCCGTGGCTTTGTACCTCTACATCACAATTGTGCATTCTAAGAAGGCTTTGGCAGACCACATGATTTACTGGTTCCATTTAGTCAGGTGAGTAAAATATACATGTTAGAACGATATGTGCTGTTAACTATCTAACTCAGAGGTTCCCGAACCAGTCCTCGTAACCAACCAACAATCCAGGATTTTTGTACTTCCTTTTTTTTATTCCAATGGAGATACTGACAAAACCTTGACAGTTGCTTTGTTATGAGCACTATTTTGCGAACCACTGATCTAACTACTAGGTAGGTAATTTGTGTTTTTCTTTTGTCTCTGTTTACATTTCCCTTTTGTTACTTGTCCCATTATGACCATTTTCCAGTTTATTGGTGCCTACATTTTTACTATATAATCTTCTATTTTTTTTTCTCTCCACTAATATTTCCCAAAGGATTTCCTATTTGCCATTTCCCTAATGACCCTCCGAATACCAGGCTATTCATTGACTTAATTGGATTAATACCTAAAGAATGCGTTTATATTCAAATGTTCTTTTTTCTTTTTAAATTCCGACATGAAAGTATCTGTAATCCAACTATATTAGGGTTTATTTTTAGAATATACTCTTTTCCCTATAAAACTGTTTCTTTCGATTAAAACATATATGAAGGTATTTTTCTGACCATTTTTTAAAGTTCTGTTTCAGATTTCATAGGGTTCCACCAGGCACAGGAAATCTATTAATCTATTCACCCAATGTGCCAAGTTAGTAGAAAATGTACATATTCCGAATGTTGCCATGCTTTGGCCAAATAGGTCAAAGTGGGAACGCCTGCTTATTCTAAGGGTAATATTGGCCCCACCTGTCTAGTTACATTTTTGTTGCCCCTTTCCTTAGGGGAGATTTCCAGACAAAAAAAACAACTGAAAAGTTCTCAGCTTTGCAAATTATATACCAGTCCTGCTTTGGTACATTCATGCTGTTTCCTCTTCTGAGCCCCACTGTCGCTCACTGCAGGAAAATGAGATATTTTCATATACTACAGTCTAATCAGCATTATGGGGTTGTGTGGTTTATAAATGGCACGTGGAATATCCGGCCAGCTGAGCATGCAAAAATGGTTGCTGTGTCATGTGCAAGTAGAATTTAGCTCACTGTAGGAACATGAACACTGGGGTAAAAATCCAAGGACAATTAAAATACCTAACACAAAGCATCCATTTCCTTCCCCTTTCTGTTATACAATATTATTCTTATCTAGGTTCTGTGTGTGTGTATGATGGGAATATGTGCAACGTTTCTCATTGGTAGGAAAATATACTAATATATCTAATTTTCTTCATTAGAATCTTAGAGTGAGCTGAATTATCTGTTACTATCCACTCAGCTAGTTGTATTGAGTATACACTCAAAGTAGCAGTGTGTATGGCATGCTCGATACGCAGCGCACAGTGTATCATTGTGCCATCACGTGCACCCTCTTCTGCAAACAAATCTATTTTAGTCAAATTATTAGCAGATGTACAGAGGACGTTATTCTTTGTGGTTTTTTTTGTCTTGCACCTGTGTGTGTGTCTGTCTGCCTTGAAAAGGACCCGAATTGGGTAGAAATTTTGATTTGGATATACACAGCTTATAAGATTTAAAATACTAAAAATTTGAAGACCTGTGAGTGCATCGTTATTTCATATATATATATATATATATATATATATATATATCATAAATAAGTTACCGTTGCACATCAACAATCTATTAGAATTTTTGGTTAATGTTCTGGTTCTGGTTCTGTTATACTTATAAAGGCAACAAAGTATATATATATTTTTTTTTTAAAGCAATGGTACACATCTGCAGGCAGTGTTGCGTGTGTGTGCATGCGTGATTTGGTTCCATTTACCGTTACTGAGTCAAATTTAGTTTTTTGTTTTTTAACAAATCTGAGAAAAGAAAGTGCAGAAAGAATTAGTAGGAAGTTCTGTGGTTTGAAAGTGTAGGTTTCCACACCGCTGGCAGTAATTACTCTTAAATACACGACTCTGATCATATTGGAACTAGTGTTTCATTTATTAATTTTTATTAAATTGTAAAGCAGATTTCAACATTTAGGTTAAAATAGCCGAGCCAGGTCATTTTGAGTTGAATTTGTTTCCCTAATAGTCTGGGTTTATCAGTGCAGCGCACTCTGTACTTACATGTACATATTTCCAGCTGAATCAGCATAGATACATATTCAGTTATCTTATCCCATATGTGAATGCTTAGTAGAAAACAGATTAGTTTTGCATTGGGAGCATTCAAATTAAAGAGGTTCAATAGGCACCATAACAACTTTAGCTGAAAGGGACACTATAGTTACCAGAACAACTATATGTAGTTGTTCTGGTGAGTATAGCTTGTTCTTTCAGGCATTTTCATGTAAACTCAGCCTTTTCGGAGAACAGGCAGTGTTTACATTACAGTCTAGGCACTCCTCCGGTGGCAGGCACCTAGACGGCCACTAGAGGTGCTTCCTCCACGTTCAGTGTGTCCACACTCTACATGGAGACGCTGAACGTTCCCCATGATGCATTGATGATCTCAGCAATGGAGGTGCAGCCAGACAGGGCCAGCGACTGCGAGACCAGTCCTGTGTGAAAGAAAAGGTAAGTAAAATCACATTTTATACTGAGATCGGAAGGGGGGCGGTCACCTAACAGCCACTTCAGGACTATAGTATCAAGAGTATATGTTTGTTGCTTAAATGAAGCAGTTCTGGTGTATAGATCATGGCCCTGCTCAATTCTCTGCCATTTAGGAGTGGAAGGAACACTATAGCATTAGAATTACAAATCTGTATTCCTAACTATATAGTGTCCCTAACTTTATACCCCCTCCCCCAACCTTGAATGATAAAAGGAGCTAAAAAAACATTTGTTCACTTACCTCTTTCCAGCACTGAGGCTCCCTCTGTGCTGGCCTGGTCTCCTCCATTTTGCAATGTCACAATGACGGTGGGAACTAATGAGCATCAATCAATGCTTTCCTAGAGGGAATTTGAAGGTGCAAAGCCTGAGGACGCCCCATGTTCAATAGTGGAGTAAAACTCCACTAGGGAGCCAGAAACACATCTGGATGACAGCCAGTAGAGGTGAAGTAAACTCTGAAATGTAATTATTGCAGCTAATCAAAAACTGCTGTGTTTTACATTGAAGGGTCAGAGATCATCAGAATTGGCGCTGCAATGAGATGAAGTTGTCGGGGTGCCTTAAGTGTCCCTTTAAATCACTTTTTAAACGTCTTTAGCCTGCAGGAGCCTATTGTGTGTGACTAAAGTTCAACTTACAGAGCAGGAGATAAAAATGTATAAAGTAAGTTAACATCTGACCGAAAATGAAATCTTTTTTTGTTTTTTTTCCCACTGACTGTCACAGCCAGGGTTAGTGCTAGGGAAATGAAAAACCAAAGTGATTTCACTTCTAAATGTCAGTGAATTGAGCAGTGAGACTGCTGGGGTATGATCTATACACCCAAACTACTTCATCAAACTAAAGTTGTTATGATACCTACAGTGTCCGTTTAATACTCTTAGCAAAATGTTACCAGCATTCAAATAATGCTTTTCTAAACTCCCCAGCTGGTCCATGGCTGCACATATGTGGCCTATAATTTTACGTTTAGTCTCTGACTGATGTACACAAGGGGTCAGTTTGCCCATGTCTTGGATGTTTTCTCAGAGATTGTTAAAGGGGTGCCATCACTTCCCATAATATGTAATATTCTATTTACTAATCCCCTACATAAAATGAATATGTAATTGTGAGGTGTGAAAAATAGAATTAAATGTAGAAATTTACACCTTTTATCCTGCAGCTGAATACTGCCATTTTAGCACCCTGTCCGTCATTATCATAATCTCCGTTCTATGCTCCTGTCAATCAACATACAGACTGCATACAGAGCAGAGGAATACAGAAACAATGTTTCTATTCATTCTCCTGATTTGCCAGGTGTGTTTGACTGAGCCTTGCCCGAGCTGAATACCAATTGCTAAACCTTTTAATTAGTGATGTCCCGAACGGTTCGCCACGAATGGTTCGCAGCGGACTCATCATTGAGTAAACTTTGACCCTGTACCTCACAGTCAGCAGACACATTCCAGCCAATCAGCAGCAGACCCTCCCTCCCAGACCCTCCCATCTCCTGAAAAGCATCCATTTTACATTCATTGTGAAGCTGCATTCTTAGTGAGCTGTCCAGGAGGTGGGAGGGTCTGGGAGGGAGGGTCTGCTGCTGATTGGCTGGAATGTGTCTGCTGACTGTGAGGTACAGGGTCAAAGTTTACTCAATGATGAGTCCGCGGCGAACCGTTCGGTGAACCGTTCGGGACATCACTACTTTTAATTTATGTACATTTTAAAAGAAAACACAACTTCACATGATAGATAATTTTAAAGGGACACTATAGTCACCAAAACAACTTTAGCTTAATGAAAGAGTTTTGGTGTATAGAACATGCCTCATGCAGTCTCAGTGCTCAATTCTCTGCTATTTAGGAGTTAAATCATTTTGTTTATAAACCCTAGTCACACCTCCCTGCATGTGACTTGCACAGCCTTCCTAAACACTTCCTGTAAAGAGTCATCTAAAGTTTATCCTTCCTTTATTGCAAGTTCTGTTTAATTTAGATTGTATTATCCCCTGCTATGTTAATAGCTTGCTAGACCCTGTATGTGATTAAAGTTATATTTACAGAGCAGGAGATACAATTCTTTCAGATAAATAACATGTGATTGAAAGTGAAACCAGTTTTTTCATGCAGGCTCTGTCGATCATAGCCAGAGGAGGTGTGGCAAGGGCTGCATAAACAGAAACAAAGTGATTTAACTACTTAATGGCAGTGAATTGAGCAGTAAAACCTGAGAGGCATGATCTATACACCAAAACTGCTTAATTAAGCTAAAGTTGTTTAGGTGACTATAGTGTTCCTTTAATCAATTGTGTGATGTCCAGAGAAGTGATGGAAAGGGGGCTATGCAATTTTGCTGATATTTGCTGTGCCATGACTTCTCTTAGCTTGTGCCACAATTTTCATGAATGAAACTACTGTATGTGTTGAATAACCCACCCACAAGACCATGGCCTGGGTTTCATGGGAAATGCTCATCTACCATTGGAAATTACTGTAGGGCTAGGATCGGCTGTAACTAAGAGCATTAGATTATAATGTATTAGATTAATTTAGTTTGGTGTGCAGTGGATACGGTTTCCCATAGAAGGGATTGTTCTTGTAATTTGTATCAAGTAACACTTTGTTAAACAGTATGATTTAAAATCCATGTAACAAGGGATTTCATTCAGGGATTAATTCAAATAATATTATTAGCGGTGTGCATGAAACTACAAGAACTCAGTACTTACCAGGTGCACAGACTATAGTTCATGATGTGAAAACCATTTACAAAATGCACGCGGGCAGTACTGCATAGTTTATTATTATTATCGCAATTAAACAAAACCTGTCCTGATTTTATTGAACGGTTAATGGGAATACTTTAATGCATCTGTTTGCCTTTAGCCTCATTAATATACTGTATTTGTTTTTTAAATCGTTTTTGTACTATAAAGTAAATAAAAAAAATAAAAAAATAAATGTTTTGCACCATAAGCCTTCCTCTTTAGCCACGCCCCCTCATGCCAGAAGAAAGGCTTCCTTATCAAATGTATGTACACAGCTCAGCCACAGACAGTACTGAATGATCTGACCTACACAGCAATCTGCATTAAAAGTAGAGGACACCCAGGGAGACTTACAGTTTCGCTGACTCTCTTCAGCCAGGTTGTGAATTAAAGGTAGCTCACTCAGAGCTGTTATAATTGAGCTGTGTGGATATATTTGATAAGGAAGCCTTTCTGGCATGAGGCAGTGGGGCTAAGGAGGAAAGCTTATGGTGCAGAATTCTGCAAAACATGTATCTATTAATGTAAAGATTTGGGCATGCAAAAAATAATTGCACATCAAAAAGGCCCAAACCTTTCAAATGCATCAGTTGTATTGCTGCCTGGAGTGTCCCTTTAAATTCTCACACTTTTAAATGCATTATATAATTAATTAATTTACCATAAACAAACATCAACATTTGCTGCAAGTCTGCACCTTTTTCTACGTCCAAAAGGAGCCTGCGATTTCACCCCATTTTGTTTCACATCATGTACACATCTATGCAAGGTATGCAGGAAATGATGAGTTATGAAACGTGCAGTTCTGCAAACAACTGTAGTTTCATTATTGAAAGGGCATAAACGAAGCAGCCTAATGGAAGGCTCTAATGGAATGTTATATCATTCATATCCTGGTAGGGACATTATTACGTTTAAAGGGACTGCAGTGCCAGTAATACAAACCCTTTATTTACTTAATAAGTACTCCTCTTTTTCCAGTGCCCCTCGGTGCTGGGTCGTCGCTCCGCCCCCTCTTCCATCCAGTGACAAGCAGGGTCTAATGCACATGCGCGGCAAATGACTCAATGCTTTTCTATGGGGAAAAATCTGACGCTGGAGGTCCTCATGCAGAGCGTCAGGATTGTTCAGCGTCAGATACCAATTTCAATTCAGGAAGCACCCCCAGTGACTGTCTGTTAGACAGCTACTGAGGGCAGACTTAGAGCTACGATGGAAACATTGCAGCGCTAAGTGCAAAAGGGACACCGCACCCAGACCACTTCAATGATCTGAAGTGGTCTGGGTGCCTACAGTGTCCCTTTAACTTTGCTATAGAAATGGGGGTGTTATAGCTGCAAATCGTTGAATCTATAAGTAGAAAATTCATGGAGACGAGGTCAGGGAAGCTCTTGCCCTATAACCTATACAACAATATTTGCTTATGGTGTGCGGGGTGTCTCAATAATATTTTTAGTAAGATACCTACCCTGTTACCTGCTACAAACAATGGTTTAAGAGATCAGATGCCAGTAAGACCTGAACGGAAAACACGTGTTCTAAGTTGCGGACAAATGATCTGATTGACAAACATGATCTTGACCTACAGGGTACATTGAGTACACTGTCACACTGCAGTAAACACAGCTATTTTTACTCCAGGATGCCAGTAGAAGTAAACAACAGATTGCTGAGAACTAACTTTGTCATCTCTCGTAAAATCTGAAAAAAAACTTTCTACATTTGCAAGTGAATTATATTATGGATTAATGATTAAACAGTGAGTTAAGCTGCTGATAATTTATACAAAAAATTGCTGAACTGTATTTTTCGACCTTTTTTCACATTTTACAACTTGGTTGTGAATAATTCACAGCACCTTATCATATATCTGTGTTCTGTGACTATACTCCACAAGAAAACATTTTGACACTTTATGGTTAATAGTGAAACAAACAATATATAAGGGCTCTTGCTTTATGTACGCTTTCTTTGCCTATTCAGCCCTGTATTATTATCCGTAATAACAAGGAGAACTTAGAACAAAATAACAGTCAGCGTTCACTGGTCATACGGTGCCAGTGCGAGGGAGGGTCCTTCCCCCAACGAGTTTTGCCCTATTTTCCCCAAGTCTCTGATTGGACTGTCTTGTTCTAATTGGCACTGTGTTAAATATTGTTGTGTTTGTGTTACTCTGTATGTATTTTATTTTTATTTCATTAACCCATAAAGTTGAATGCTTGGCATTAAAGAAAAACTCCAAGCGCCATAAGTTCTTCAGCCCACTATAGTGCCAGGGATCCCTGGTGTCCTCCTAGTGTAAGTAGTTAAACCGTTTGCAAATAGTTTGACAACTTGTCTATTGACGTCTGTTAGGCGCCTGTCACTGCTTCACCTGCTAGCAGAAGCTCCTTTAAGGAGCTTCTGTTGGCCACATTGATTTACAACCTGCCATGTAGGGTTGGGTCAATGGATCAGCCGAACACTCTCAGCTAATATGTTGACCCTGCACGGTCAGGTTTAGCTTAATGCAGGAGCTTCCATCTAAAGCGTAGACTGCAGCGGAAACCTGGAGGACCCCAGGTAAATTGTGAAACCGTTCTTTTATACATGAGGCAGGAGGATCATAGGATACTCCTGACAACATAACCACCACAACAGGATGTAGTGGTTATGGTACTCAGAGTGTTCCTTTGCTTGTGCAATACTAAGTTTATTTCAGCATGCATAACATTGAACCTCCAAGTTTGATGGTTACTCTATGGCTTCTGTGAAAGCAATGGTAATAACACCATTGATTAAAACATAGAATCTGTACATTGCGTTAACAGCAGCAAATTTATATCATTCTATTTAACGTGCCACCATGTAACTGTTGCTTGACAGGCAGGGTCACTAGACTGAACCAGTTTTCCTGCACAAATCACTTATTTAAACTGGAAGACAGCGCATGTAAAGTGCTGCCCTGCAATATGTGCAATTTACATGCTGCAGAATTCCTCAAAGAATAATTCTTTCTCCCTCGTTCTGCACATGACGTCTACCAACTTCCAAACAATATGTGTAAATGACATCTGTCCATGAATACGTGGTGTATCTGGCCACAGTAATGTTAAACTTTCACAGTCTTTGTTTGTTAACTGACATCAATGCAAAATATTTTAGTAAGAGATAAAGTATGAATGAAGTCTAAGTGGCATAATTTTAGCAGGTAATAATCGAGATCGTTATACCTAATGGAATGTTAATTTGAATATTCTTTTCACCCCTAAAGTATTTCAGCTTTTAATTACTGTGTGCAACCTTGTCAACCAATGACATGTTACAGCATTAGATATTATACAAGTTTTCGAGTATGTGCACATTATAAATGTGTGTCAACTTGCTCTGGGTAAACACTCCAGACACGTGTCGTGGAGTAATATTTCATGTTCCCGGGTGTCCACTTCTGACTATTCACTGTCACTTCACTATATCGTACTGAACACTTTGTCAGTGATCGCTGTGACGAACTCACAGCACAAATTGTAAAGAGCCAGTATTAGCATTTTTAAAAGTGAACACGTTTAGGTTATATTTAATGGTTAATTTATTTGCGTAATGTCCAGTGAAGTGGTGATAAACCACACTTTTAGATCTTCACAAGTGATCCTCCAAATTGCATGTAGGGAGTTATGGTCATGCAATAAAAAATAAGGCACACTCTTTTTTTTTTTTCTTTTGTAATCGCCAGGCATTCTTTCAAATAAATGGCTTATACATAAACAGGTTCTTTTCAGATTGATAAGCATGGTCCCTGCTTGGCTGTTGATGAATGCACAAGAATAGGTGTTGATTTTCCCGTTGTGTGCCCACTTTAAAGGAACACTATAGTGTCAGGAACACAAACGTATTCCTGACACCATAGTTCTAAAATATCAGTTTAGGTCCCTGTGAAGAGAGTCAGAGTTGAATTTAATTACCATTTTCCAGCGCCGTGCGGGTCTCCTTTTGGCTGGCTCCGCCTCTTTCCCAGCTTTGGCTGAGATTATCAGACTTGGTGATCTTACCCAATCACATGCTTAGGAAAGTATTGGTAGGCTGTCACGCATGCACGGCAAAATCAGCGTCTCCTCTTAGAGAGGCAATGAACATATTGCATCTCTATGGGGAGCGTTCAGTGGCGAAGCTAAACGTTAGTGCTGCACACTGTGCAGCAGTGACCTAGGAAGCACCTCTAGTCGCCATCTTACTGACTCTAGAGGTGTTACTAGGCAGTAATGAAAAAAATAACCTTTTCTCTGAAAAGGCAGTGTTTACTTTAAAAAGCATGCAGGGACAAGTAGTTATGGTGATTATAGTGTCCCTTTATGTTAGAAATAGTGTACTTCACCTTTCTCCCTAAAAAACTTCATCTGTTGAAATAACACACAGATGAGTTATTCTCATCAGACTAAATATATCTCATATAAACATTTCAAAATAACAAGAGCACAGGGTACAGTGACCAGAGTCACATTATGCGATGATGGTAACCTCGAGTTTCATAACCTCTTTATAGTGATTAGATCACCTGAAACATTGTCTACTAATCTATGTTTGAGGAGCAATCTGGAGCAAAGTGCTAAAAGTGGAGCAATTGGCACGACAATCAGACTGGTTTCCATAGTAATTGCTCCACTTTAAAAACCTTTCCCATACTTGTACTTTATTAGTAACACACAGGGTTAATTGTAAGGAATTCAAAGTGAATTTTACATTTACATGTTTTGTTTCTTTAAAAAAAAAAGGGGGGGTGTGAGAGGGATGAGAGGAGGGGATGGCGCAGAGGAGAGAGAGTGTGTGTGTGTGTTATACACTGCTCAAAAAAATAAAGGGAACACTTAAACAACACAATGTAACTCCAAGTCAATCACACTTCTGTGAAATCAAACTGTCCACTTAGGAAGTGGTTCTGCAGGTGGTGACCTCAGACCACTTCTCAGTTCTTATGCTTTCTGGCTGATGTTTTGGTCACTTTTGAATGCTGGCGGTGCTTTCACTCTAGTGGTAGCATGAGACGGAGTCTACAACCCACACTAGTGGCTCAGGTAGTGCAGCTCATCCAGGATGGCACATCAATGCGAACTGTGGCAAGAAGGTTTGCTGTGTCTGTCAGCGTAGTGTCCAGAGCATGGAGGCGCTACCAGGAGACAGGCCAGTACATCGGGAGATGTGGAGGAGGCCGTAGGAGGGCAACAACCCAGAAGCAGGACCGCTACCTCTGCCTTTGTGCAAGGAGGAACAGAAGGAGCACTGCCAGAGTCCTGCAAAATGACCTCCAGCAGACCACAAATGTGCATGTGTCTGCTCAAACGGTCAGAAACAGACTCCATGAGGGTGGTATGAGGGCCCGACGTCTACAGGTGGGGGTTGTGCTTACAGCCCAACACCGTGCAGGACATTTGGTATTTGCCAGAGAACACCAAGATTGGCAAATGCGCCACTGGCGTCCTGTGCTCTTCACAGATGAAAGCAGGGTCACACTGAGCACATGTGACAAAGTCTGGAGATGCCGTGGAGAACGTTGTGCTGCCTGCAACATCCTCCAGCATGACCGTTTGGCAGTGGGTCAGTAATGGAGTGGGGTGGCATTTCTTTGGGGGACCGCACAGCCCTCCATGCAGGGCCAGATTAAGAGCCCAGTGGGCCTGGTGCTGACAATTATGATGGGGCCTAATTACAGAATTTCCACGGCCACCGGATCGCCGTGAGGTGCGGTTGCACCGGACCAGTGTGACCGCGCCAACGAACTGAGCTTACCTGCTCAGCGGCAAGTCGGGAGCCGCTCTACCGGGTTCTCCTGGCTGCCTGCCCGGGTTCAAGATGGTGCCGAAACACGCGGTCGCAGCAAGATATAGCTCTGCCCCCCAGGGTCACACACACACATTCTGCAGTAAGAGGCCAGAGGGATATTTAACCTAGGTGGTTTTCGTTCCTGGTTCTTGAATCCTGAGAGTGCATTTTCTTGTCCTGTTTTTGATATTCCCAGTATTTTGACCTTGACTATTCCTGACTATTCTGATTCCTGGCTTCCCTGACTTGGCTTGTTAAATGGTATTGTATATTTCTGGCTCCCTTGACCATTCTCTGTTTTTAACGTATTAGTCCGGCCATTCTAAGGACCGGTTTACATTTTATCATTTTCTGTCTATGTAGATGTTACATAGTTCTGCATGCTGGACCACACTAGCAGTCATGACAAGAATCTTATCGACCATAGACATTAAAACAGTCATACCTCTCAAGCGTCAAGTATCTAATGGAGATGGTGTTGGAGGGAAACTCAAAGGATGCAGCTTTAAGAAAACACATACTCTATGCTAATCTCGCTCTAATTTATGCTTTAATCTTTCAAGTAAATCCATACCCCACTAACAGCAGTGTCCAGTAAGGCAGGAAGTCAATGGGGACACTGGGAGAAATGGGCACACAGACACTAGGGACACAGAGACACAGACACTGGAAGACATGGGGACACTAAGACACTAGGAACACTGAGAGACATGGGGATACTGAGACACTAGGGACACTGGCTGGGAGGCATGGAGACACAGGCATGGAGACATTTGGGGACACTGGGAGACATGGGGACATTTGGGGACACTTAGGGACACTGAGAGACATGGAACACAGACACTGGGAGACATGGGGACACAGGGAGACAAGGGGACACAGACACTAGGGGGACTGGCTGGGAGACATGTGGACACGGGGAGACATGTGGACACTGGGAGACATGGGGACACAGACATTTGGGGACACAGACATTTGGGGACACTGGGAGACATGGGGACACTGAGACAATAGGGGGACTGAGAGACATGGGGATATAGACACTGGGAGACTAGGGGACACTGAGACAATAGGGACACTGGCTTGGAGGCATGGAGACATTTGGGGACACTGGGAGACATGGGGACATTTGGGGACACTTAGGGACACTGAGAGACATGGAACACAGACACTGGGAGACATGGGGACACAGGGAGACAAGGGGACACAGACACTAGGGGGACTGGCTGGGAGACATGTGGACACAGACATTTGGGGACACTGGGAGACATGGGGACACTGAGACAATAGGGGGACTGAGAGACATGGGGATATAGACACTGGGAGACTAGGGGACACTGAGACAATAGGGACACTGGCTTGGAGGCATGGGGACACTGTGTCCCATGTGTCTCTGTGTCTCAGTCTGTCTCCCAAATTCCCCATGTGTCTCAGCATCCCCATATCTCACAGTGTCCCCTAGTGTCTCAGTGTCCCCATGTCTCCCTGCTGCCTTTCCTCCATACTTCACTTACCTGAGCTGTAGGCTGTCTCTGTAGGCTGGGAGCTGCTGTGTAGCTGCTCCCCTGCGGATCAGTGAGTAGAGAGCGAAAGGGATATGCTGTAACTTCCTATCCCTGCCTCTCTCCACACACAGTGACCCCTACTGGTTAGTGCTGGTATTACAGAGTAATCTCCATTTATACTGAGAAAAATACCTGCAATTGTATTGCCGGTATTACTGCAATACCGGCATGGCCAGGCAGCCTCAAATACTGGTAAAATACCAGTCAGATGGCAAACCTAAGAGTAGTGTACGTAAAAAAAAAAAAAATTTTTTTTTTTTTTTTTTTAAATGGGCCTGGGCCTGGAGCTGAAGCTCCATCAGCCCCTATGTTAATCCGGCCCTGCCTCCATGTGCTCGCCAGAGGTAGCCTGACTGCCATTAGGTACCGAGATGAGATCCTCAGACCCCTTGTGAGACCAAATGCTAGTGCGGTTGGCCCTGGGTTCCTCCTAATGCAAGACAATGCTAGACCTCATGTGGCTGGAGTGTGTCAGCAGTTCCTGCAAGATGAAGGCATTGTTGCTATGGACTGGCCCGCCCGTTCCCTAGACCTGAATCCAATCGAGCACATCTGGGACATCATGTCTCGCTCCATCCACCAATGTCACGTTGCACCACAGAATGTCCAGGAGTTGGCAGATGCTTTATTCCAGGTCTGGGAGGAGATCCATCAGGAGCATGCACAGGCATTGTAGGGAGGTCATACAGGCACGTGGAGGCCACACACACTACTGAGCCTCATTTTTACTTGTTTTAAGGACATTACATCAAAGTTGGATCAGCCTGTAGTGTGTTTTTCCACTTTAATTTTGAGTGTGACTCCAAATCCAGACCTCCATGGGTTGAAAAATTTGATTTCCATTTTTTATTTTTTGTGTGATTTTGTTGTCAGCACATTCAACTATGTAAAGAACAAAGTATTTCAGAAGAATATTTAATTCATTCAGATCTAGGATGTGTTATTTTTTGTGTTCCCTTTATTTTTTTGAGCAGTGTATATGCGAGCTCATTAGCCCCTCCACATAGGAAAGCATTGTTACAATGCTTTCCTATGGAGATTTAACTGACTCTGGATGTACTCATGTAGAGCGTGAGGACGTTCAGCCTCCGTTATGCAACAAAAAGTGGCCAAGCAGGGAAGGGGGGGAGGGTGGGGGGGAGGGGGCGGGCAAGGGGGGGAGTGGGGCCTTGAGCGGGGCCGGACCGCCATGCTGGCAGTTCCTGCAACTTTTCTTTGTTTTACCTTTAAAAACCGATTTAATACCCATTGGACAACAAACTACGGCGACCCTGTGTAAGCAGACACCCTGGTCCAAAGGAGAGGCTTGCTGCTACGTTTTAGTCCCTTGGAGGGGTGCTCTCCGCCCCCCACGATGGAGAGCGCTTGGGCGGTGAGTGAAGTGGAGCGGACGGCCGCCGCCCTGCTATCCTGCTCACCAGTGGTGCAAGCAACGCACGAGGCTAGGGGGGGGTCTGACCCCGTTCCCCCCCCCCTCTGGACTGGTGGGGGTGATCCCGGTCCTCACCCTGGGCCCGCCAGCGTACAGCAACACCAGCAACCCGGGATGTGATGGAGCTCCAAAACTCGGAGGCCGCAACAAAAATGGCAGAGACCGCACGCTGAGGCACCCAAGTGAGCGGTAAGTCGGATGCATCCACCTCACACAGTCGGCAAGCTGACATGGGGCAAGAGGAAACCAGTGAGTACCTGCTAAGACCCACCCCAGGTCCAGCCAAATGGCGGCGGAGAAGCCGGAATGCCCCCAGCGACGAAGCCCTACACACTATTCAGTGCGAAGATGCCTACTCACGTGTATCCAGCACCTAGAATTGTGTAACACAGAGAACTGATAGATAACACATACAGGACCTTAGAATGGCCGGACTAACGTACCAAAGAATAGTCAGGAATAGCCGAGGTCAAGGGAAACAGAAAGAGACACAGCGATAAGGAAAAGCCAGGAGTCGGGGATGACAGAAAACAGGGAAGTCAAAAACAATGCCAAAGTCAAATAACCAGAATTACCAGAATCAATAACGCGCTCTCGGACAACTACAAGGGAAACCACGACAGGGCACTGAGCAGGATGAGAACTGGGCCTAAATACCCCTCCTCTAGATCTGATAGGCTGTAACCGGCCTTTGAACCCCAAAGCAGTTACCAGGTTCCCATTTGCATAATTGCTGCTCAGCATTAACCCTTCTGAGGATTAGGTTGCTGCTCGGCACAACTTTTCCTGTGTGGACAGTAAATGTCATTAACCACATTTTTATAAGCGGATGAATACGTGACAAGTACTTAACATGGCAGTACCCAAGCTTTTGTCCCCCTGCTGCCAATATACTCCACTATACTTCACAGGCAAGCCTAACGGCTCTCAGCCACTGACTCCCATCTGGCTGGTGAGGGGTTAGCCGGGGGTGGAAAAACCTGCGCATGTTTATTGCTTTTATCTATTCATGTCCTAATTTAAGCGGCTGGACCCTCTTGCTTTAGTTTGACTATCCTTACTGTTGGCGACACAAACGTTTCTAAAGCAATCCCATAAGACCTATCTTGTATTTCATTCTATGTTCTACTTGCACTAGCCTGTCTATGCACCCAACTTCGCAAATTAGCATTACCTGAGTCGACCATAGACTAGCTAACGTACTGTTTAAGCCTGTACACAACCGTCAACATAACTATAAAACTTGTGCAATGTTATCATATGCCCCACTGTTATAATTGTTTTGACATACGCAAGTGGACTGCCGTTGTGGTGCCACATGCATGCTTGTTACACTCATGTGCACTACAAAAAAAAAAAATGTAAAAAAAAAAAAAAAAGTGGCCAAGCAAGCAGGAAGTGCCTCTAGATGCTGTCTAGTGGCAGTCTTAACCCCGCAATGCAATTATTGCAGTTTTTTAAAAACTGCAATAATTAACATTGCAGGGTTAAGGGAACAAGTACATTGCTCCCAGACCAGTTCAATGAGCTGAAGTGGATGTGGTGCCTATAGTGCCCCTTTAATTTTGAAAGGAATTCATGATTAAAACATTATAAAGCATAATCGTTATTTAATTTTTTCTTAAACTGAAAAACAGGGACTGTATTTATATTCTCCAGAGCAATAAGTATCTGTTTGATATACAAGGCATTTTCACAAACAGCTGTTCTCTTGTTCTGTCTGGAATTAAGTAGGAGTATGAATAGGGATTACCCTGAGTTTCTGAATGTGTTATTTGATCTTATTATTCCTGTTTCCAGAAGTGTTGTGCATATTTTCGAGTCATGGGTATTTTCGAATAATACCTTCTTAGGCAGTGAGCGGATTGTAATATTTTATGAAACCTCTTACTTGTGTCGGTTCACTTATAGTTTATAAAAAAAAAATATATATTTTATAAAAATGGCAAAAAAGAAATAAATCTTTTTTTAAATGGTCAAGGTTTTCCAGTGGAAGCAGTTTTGAGATTTAAAGAGCGATATACATTTTAAAATACATATTGTTTGCCAATCACTGTTACCTGTGCTCTGATCAGCACAGGTAACAGTGCAAACCATAAAAAAAAACAAAGAAAAAAAGTTTACTGCGCACTATCCCAATTCTCTATTCACATTTAAATAACTAGTGGTTTTTCACTCCAGTGGCCATTAACCCTTTAAGGACCAATCTTCCGGAATAAAAGGGAATCATGACATGTGACACATGTCATGTGTCCTTAAGGGGTTAAAGAGTCAGCTCACCTGCCACATCAAGGCAAAACATCTTTGGTGAGTCCTACACCAACAATTCACCCCGCTGTTTTCAGCTGAAGGTAAAAATCTCTAATGGAACAACAAGGGGTAATTTTCTGAACTTAACATGAGGCTGGATATCCTCATGCTTCAGGACGTCCATCGTCCGTTAAGTGACCAAAATATGCCCAACGAAACTGAAGTCCCTCTAGTAGACAGCCATTAGGGGAGGAGTAAACCATCAAAGGTAATTATTCCTGATTATTAAAAACTGCAATAATCAACTTTGCAGGGTTAAGGGGCCTGGGACAGAGCACCCAGACCACTTCGAGGAGCTGGCGTGGTCTTGGTGCCTATAGTGTCCTTTTAATACAGAAAACACATGGGGTTGGTGGCAGCACTGTAACATGGCCCAGAAGTAGAGTCAGCTTGAGCGCAGGGCTTAACTTTGTGTGTTTGTAACGGTGCAATCCATGTCCTCTACACGCACCATAACCAACCTTTTGGTGAAGTGGTTTTGGGGTAGTGCCCATTGAATCAGAGTGAGGGCTCTGTTTACATATGAAATTTGTTTTACAGACGCAGTTAATGTTTTATCTAGTGATGCATAGAAAGACAAATAACTGCATTTCTTCCACAGTTGAATCTCTTTAGTTATAATGTTTTATTTATAGAGTCTTTTTAGGAGCCTGAGGCTCAAGCTATTCATCAACAATAATCAAAAGAATATATTGTGCCTAATATTGCTGATACGACGAAAAACTTGTTTACATCCAAAATCACCCTTCTGCCTCCCTCTTCCCTACAGGTAGATACTTATGTGAAACTTGTAAAACAAGAATTGCTATTTTGTAAAACTCTAACCACGGTTGTCTGTTTCTTAACTCAAGCAAATCTAAGTATGTGAACCCAAAGGGCACAAAGTTCTCATAAATAATGTCTCTTTTACATTAATTTTATGTGCCGCAGCCAGGCTCAAGCTGTGCGATATCTCCTACATGTCCCCCAAACTAAATAAATAAGCAACACAATGTACAAATGTACACTGCGTAACCAAGAAATTGAGGATCTTTTCGCGGTTTAAAAATCAACTTCATTACATAACCATGGTTACAATTTTGCAGTCATCATCACTTCATAGTGACTAAACTAGTTGCTCTTCATGGCTTGAGATGAGCCACTTACATTATTATTATTATTATTATTATTATTATCATTGAACTTGCTGGTAAAGGAAGTGTGGTGGTGGTCATGTCTAAAATAGATTATGTCCGAGGTCAGGCGATAGGTTGGTGACCCTGACACACACAAAAAATGTGCTAGATACCCCCTTTAGGACTTGTAAGAGATATCAAGGCTGTGCTTAAGGGGGCTTTTCAAGATAAATCAGATTGTATTTTCCTTCTCCGAGTTTCCTCCAGCTTGTTACATTTGGCCTATGGTTTATTTTCTGGATCCAAATATTATGTTGTACCATGGTAATTTTAAAGCATTATCTATTCATTTCAATTTGGAGTTAAGAAATGTTCCTGATGTTCTTTGGGCTAGCCATCTTCACCCCAGCTACATTTAAACAAATACATGGAAGTAAAATCACTGGCTGGCATGTTGTAAACAAACAAAAGTTTTGTGCACTACCAACAGATTCCACCAGGAAACCAAGACCAAGTAACACGTGATATCCTTCAGACTTACAGCAAGTTGCTTTTTCCTCTCCAGAAATGTTCTCTCGATTCTAGTAGGCCAGTAGATGAGTCCACCTTATACACATTATTTTGTGGACTTTTATGTGTAGCCTATAGTACCATCCTACCGTCTACCTACATGATGCTCTTCTTTTGTCCTTCTCTAATAGCCAACACACCTCCTCCCCAAACAGCTGTCCTATTTGATGATAAGGGCCACTTGAAAGCATTCTCATTATTGAGATTGAATAGTTGCAATCCCCACACACATTATGTGGTGGTTCTTCAACCTCAATAAATACTCAAATTCCAAAAAACAAATTGACTATCTCATGCACTTGAGTTACATACTGCACTGACTAATGCACTCTGCATTCTTGTAATGAACACTAGGGGTCATACTATGTAAAGTATTTGTGGCAAACTGAGAGCTAATTTTTTCAGTGTGTCTGCAGAAAGTGGTTTCATTTTTGTTTAACTTCTGCTGTAGTGATGGTGGAAAAACTGTAAACGGCAGTAAGTCTTCAGAAATAAATTAGGCTTTAAATTGCACAGTTAAACTTTGTGCTTTTGGTTTTCATATTCTAAGATTTAGTATTACAAACTGGTGCACAGTTTGTTTGTTTTTCTCCCCCCCCGAAATATTTTCTTAAAATAATCTAGAATTACATTGCATAAATAATAGCCTAGAATGCATTCATTTTTTACAATATTACAAATCATGAACAAAACAAATCAATGGGCATATAAGCCTACAAGTACATATGACAACATGGCATTGAAGGCATAGTGCAATTTCAGATAGTTACGAATATCAGTAAGGAACCCATAGAGGAGGTATGTAAGCAACCATAAAAATACTGGGAGCGTAGATGTGGGCCCTAAGGGGAGAAAAGCAGCAGAGTAGGAACTGTCTATATAGATTTAGCTGAGATAGGGAGGCTCTGTGAGGAGTTTGTGCACACACCATGGAATGGTTTCCAGTACTGATTTAATTTACTGCTGGAAGGAGTAGTTTAGATTTTTTTTATAACATCTCCAAAAATTGAAAAAATATTTGGACATTCTGGCCTTTTGTTATAACGTATATTCAGGCAATCCATTCTGAATGTGAATGAAGGTCTGTCTCTCTCTATAAATGAAGATAGCGTGGCACCACTATATTGTTTCTAGATTTGTAGAATGGTGTTGTGGGCTACAGGTGCTAACATTCTAAGAAATCCCTTGTGAGAGTGAAGGTTCAGCTTGAGAATGCTGAACTTGCCCAATTCAGAGGTGTTGGGGAGGGATGTGATAATGACGGGCAAATTAACCATACGACCTAGAAGACTTGGATTTGTGAACAAGACATCAAATAGTGGTAGAGGTCAGCTTTGGGATGTCGGCATCCAGAACTGGTATGCTCAGCAGATAGGAAGTCCAGTTCAACTCAAATTTCTCAATTGACGTTGTTTAATTATGTGTGAATGAACGGAGTGCATAATTTTTGTTTTTTTTTAAAAGGTGCATGGATAACCTCTCTCCTTTTTTCTACAGTTGGGGAGTCCCATTGGTGATCACCGTGGCTGCTGTGTCTTTGCAAAAGATTGGCTATGATGCCTCCTATGTGTCCGTAGGCTGGTGCTGGATAAACATTGACGCCGAGGACAAACTCATGTGGATGTTGTTGACTGGCAAAGTGTGGGAGATCCTGGCATATATCATTCTGCCTGTGCTGTATGTTCTAATCAAGAAGCACATCGGACGAGCGGTAAGGCCTTTTCTATCTTTTTCTATTTCTATTGCTGTTCTCCTAGCTTTTGTTTTTCGGTTTTATTCGTTATAGTTTTTTTATAGTTTTAAGGTTTGTGCACAAACGAAGTCTCAGGAACCCCTCTTAGATTACATATTATTAAATAACAACACAGGAATACATTTTTGCTGCCTTCCCGCTATCCACTCCACACCTCTTGAAGATAAGCCCAATTTGAGTGCATATATCAGTCAGAAGTTTATTTATAATACCCCATAAATAATGACTAGCTCCTTGATGTAATTGAAGAATTTCACTGTCTGCTAAGGTGTAATTTTAAGTATCTTATCGATAATGAACAAAAAGCCTCACATTTTTTGAGTAAGGAAGGTAAGCTGCCTTGAGCTGTGTAGACCTCCCAACAGGACAGAAGTTAGAAAAACAAAGTCATTACTTCATAAGTCATATTAATATAGGCAGGCTTGGGGGTGTTTTCCTTCAGAATAGGTCATTGTACACATAAAGTTTCAAAATGTATTTTTGCCAATACCTTTGGTGTGACAGGTTTGTTCAATAATGGTGGTTTTTAATCACTTTGTGGAACAAGTAACTCTTGTACGTAAACGTGTATTGAAATGAGTTTTTGTTTTACGTTTCTCCTTTCTTCAAACATGTCACCCTAATTCTGGGGTGAGGTGAAACTCTTTATCAAAGTACATCACTAATGAAAAGAGATTGCAAACTCTGGTTCAACAGAAACCCCCCAAAGGTTCTATCTAGAATGTGTTTATATATAATGCCTCTTATGAACTACATTGGTTAATACTGGAAGCAGGTTTGTTAGAATTTGAATAGTGACAAAAGATGGCATATTTAAGGTAATGTACAGCTACCACCGGTCATTTAAAAAAAACATCACAAATAAATTGTGACCCCGGATGTTGACCCAGATTTCTTAAAAAAATTAAAAAAATAAAATCAGATCAAAATCACTTTTCAAAGGCGTGACTTTTACTTAAGAAATAAGTAGATGTCATGTTTACTGGCTGACATGTATGTGGTTTGAATTTAGTGAAGTGAAACTTGTGTAGCAATGAATTTGCATGAGTAACCTTCATTAAAGAAGGGTTTTCTGTTTATTTATTTTTTTACATATTTAAACATTGTTTGCATTTGGTCACTTCTGTTGCTGTAAATTAATTTATTTCCAATGTAATAATTTTTTAAAATAAACACATTTACAGGTTTCTCCCCAATCCCTAACTCATTGTACACAGAACCTCAGATTTCTAAAAGGCCATTTAAGTGGTCTTATACTGGCCACCATTTCCCTCCTTAGTGGTAGCTTTTGGACACAAAGGAAACACCTTATGCATATTCTGTCCACCTGGACTTGTTACTTGTGAACATACACTTATATTCACAATTCAATCCAGTCTTTCGAAGTTCAAAATCAACGACATTCACACAGTTTTTAACAGGACTCTACGTGTTTGCATATATGCTCGAAAATTCACCCAGTAATAGCCTGCACACAATTAAATTGTTTACCAGCATGACATCCGTTTTTTGTCCTATCATTGACATGATATTTTATTAAAAGATTTCAAAAGCATTTACAGAAATATTAACCTTTTAAAGCACAGCAGGGGGTGCGTACTTTATTCCTGTGTCAGGCAAATAGTTAAACGGTTAGATATGTTTAAATTACCATGGTGTGTGTAAAGTGTTATTTTAAACTTGATAAATGTTCCCATAACAAAAAGATGTGGCTAAGCCCTGGCCTTCTCCACCTCTGCTCTACCCAAAACAACCATATTTATCAAGCGCAAGTACAGACATTCTGTCTCAGTGAATGTGTCGGCAATCAGAATGTATGTCAAAGGTGAGAGAGATCTGTCGTTACATTCTAATGGAACAAAGGAGTTTCACAAAATCCAGAATCACAGAATTCGTTCACAGAACATTCCAGGCTGCAGTTGAACCCAAATTAATTCTTTATATAAATGTTACACGAAAAACAAAAATAAAAAGCATCCTTCTATTTGAGGTTTTTGTATTTTGTTGCAAAGCCCCAAGATTTACATCTACTGCAGAGAGTCTCAAATAAAGCTGTGAAATAGTGATTTGCATTAATCATTTCCCAGACCCATCCATCTTGATTGCAGTAGGAAATTACAGAGTAGAAGATATCATAATTAATGTGTAAAATGCGCCGGTTAATAACTACTGTGCTATTAAAGACACCCAATTAATCTGTGAAGAAGGATTTTCAGGGTATGGTAAGCACATCCATCAAAACTTCTTCAATTTCAGTGATAATGTGGTTTTTAAACCGGTATTGACTTTTCTGTTCTTTTCCCAGCATGCAGCTCTTTCAGAATATCGCCCGATCCTGCCCGTTACTCCTGTGTATCAGCCCAGAACCATTGCCGATAAGAAGCTGGTATTCATCCCCATTATATTTATCTTCCTTCGTGTCTGGAGCACCATTCGGTTCATTTTGACTCTGTGTGGTTCCCCAGCAGTTCATAACGTCATACTCGTCATTCTTCATGTAAGTCAATCTTCCATTACAGCAAATGTTTGTCCCAAATAGAGTACTGTGATCCCCAGATGGCCAACTGCATTCTTAAGTATGCTAGTTGTGTCTTTTTAATCCTTTCAGCTTCAGAAAAGTCAAAGCATTGTGAAATGATATCCTTTGATTAAAATCGTATCTGGTTTTTATTCCACCTTTAACACTTCCGCTACCTTCTTACTTCAGAAAAAGAATAAACAGAAAAACATAAGAGACAAAATATAATAAATACTTGCTTAATTCCTCACGTTTCTCCTTGATGAATCCATGAGCAGTCAGCTGACTGTGGTAAGGGGGAGTGTTAATGTAATGTTTCTGCTCTCTCCCCCCTTTTTTAAAAAATGTATTTATTTATTTTAATTTTGTGTGTGCAAGAAGCTTTCTTGGTCAGTCCAAATGAAATTACTCCCATTACCCAATGGATACAACTACCCTACCTGTATCCTCTGATTTCATATTGCACTTTGTACTTCCCGATAGTTATATGGTTATATACACATTAACACAGGGATACGCTTTGCAAGTTTAGAATATATTAGGGACCACCTATTGTAGGCCGTCAAAAATTCCTATAACTGTCCAGAAATCTCTGTCTGCCTCAAAGTTCTCAGTGTTAACAAAATAACTTTCACCATCCCCACCCTCTGTGTTTGATGGCAGGTCCTTGCATTGCCTATACCTTAACACAATTTGTTTCTTCTTTTAGGGTATCGGAAACACCTTTCAAGGAGGAGCTAATTGTATCATGTTCGTATTGTGCACTCGGGCAATTAGGTCGCGCCTTTTGACATCACTGACCTGCTGGTGTTGCAAGCCCAGTTGGAGTAGCAGTAGTGAATACAGACAAATCGATGTGTCTGTGGAGCCGGAATTCAACTATGGTTCCACGGAAGATGCAGGAGAGGGGGTAAAGTGGCCGACCCATCTGCCAAGGACATGACCTTGCTCCTGGTGTACATGTGTCATGTGAAAACTTCCTTAGGTTGTGCTGGTGCCAGCTTTCATGACTTAATTATACAAAGAAGGGCTTTTAAGACATGAACCTGATCAGTGAAATTAACCCTCTTTTTTTAAGGAGCCTGTAAAAGAACTGTAGCAGAAATTTGATTATTATTATTATTATTTTGACTTGGAAACCATAAGAGAGCTACACACTGCTTGGGACTCTGCTCTCCATCCAAAAGTGTGTGCGAATTTTTTAATTGTTTTTGTGTGTAATATGTTTTGGAGTTTTTTTTGTTTGTTCAAGGACTCTATGAAAATATAGTATGGACTCTTCTGGTGGTTATTTGGGAACCATATTGCTCGTTTACAATATTTACCATCTTTATTACCACTGGTAGAGAAGAAATGTAGCAAATGAACCTGCGCTCTGCACTTAAAGTTTTCCATATGTGACCTTGGTTACATCGAGATTTCTCCACTTGTATACAGCTGACAGACTAACCAATACAAACAAAGAAGATTGTAGACTTGGAAGTCTACAAGTTTCCGAATTCTGGTTTGTGCTGTAAGCTTTGAAAGTCATTCTCAGGACCTACCAGCAGTTTGTGTTTTCAAAATCTCCTCCATTAAATAATGTGGGTTCAACACTTTGTCATCCCAATTGCTGCTGTTCTTCGTAAGGATCTGCGTTGACAATCTATGCCATTGAACACATAATGAAGTGTTAGCTGTGATAACAGCATACACTGAAACAGTACTGTGCCCCAAGGTTTACAAAGCAAAGACGTGTAACTATAAATGTTACAAATAGGTCATGACGGTGGAAATATTGGAAATTTCTAATTTTTTCCTACTTAAATAAACCTTTTTTTTTAATTTTTGTTTTTCTTGCTGCAAGCTGTTTCTCTTGTAGATGGGATCTTCCTTTGTTAATGGCAGCTGGAGGTCTGTTTATCCCTAAATCGCATTTGCACGAACAGTTCATGACTTTTTAGTTTTGGAATAGAGAACACTCCAATCAGTTTGCAAACTGATGACATTGTTTATATAATATATATTCTATTCCTTTTTGTTACTTACGATTTCCGTTCGGAGTACAGGATTTAATCCATTCTCTGTAGTCATAATAAAGGGAGGGACCCTGTAGTCACTATAACTATTTCCTCTCAATGAATTGGTTATAGTACCTGGAGTCCCCTGGCCCTGTCTGTCCATTTAATGTTAAATCATTCGAGCAGCTCAACACTAAATAATGGTCCAATGGCCACCGATTACTCTAGGTGTGGCGAAGACAGAGATACCTTGTAGCCAGACACATTCATACCAGAAACAGGCACTTTGATAGGCTAAAAGCAGTCAGCAGACACGTTCAACCAAGCACAGCTGCCCATTGCTAGTCAGGCTAATACTGCCTCATTAGCCCGAACAGCACAGAGGGGATGGGTTGCTGGGGACTTTCTTTTAGCATTGAAACTTAAAAACATTAAAAACTGTCTGATGCTAAATGACATTATGGAACCAGGAAACTCCACACACTATAACCACTTCAATGAGATAAAGTAGACAGAGTTCCTACAGTGTCTCTTTAAGTCTTGAATTAGATATTATAAACCGTCATATTTAAAAACAGCATTAAAAGAGGCTGAACCAATGGTCTTAACGTCAAGTTGATTGTTGGGTGACTGCCGAGGAATTAAGCATTTATCATGTGAAAAAATAATTATTTACAAATGTGGGATACAGTTAACTTGTTCCCAGTTTTCATCTTTTTGTGAGAACAGAATTATACAATTGAAAAATACTAAACTCCACCTTTTGTAAGAGACCTATGTATTCGCATGGCATTTATAAAGATGTCATTTACGTATTGTGACTCTGTCCTTGTACTGGGTGACAATAACTCCTAATGTCTTTTTAAACGTGGAGGAGTAATAAAGTGCCTCTTATTTTGTAAATATTCTTTTTTGTCTGTGGACTGACCAAAAAATATTATTAAAATATGTTTTTTTTATACCTATCATGTTTTGTCTTTTAATATGGATCCGTGGGAAATAATGAAGTTTTCTATATTAATATAATTTACCAATACACCTGCTGTTGGTTATGATCTTATACAAATTATATAAACTTTCCGAATTTTACTTTATTTCGCAATTACTTCGAGTAATGAAAGGTTTGATCATGCACATATCTGACAACGCCTTTAACCAGAATAGATTTAATTGGGTTTGGCAGCTTACAATGAGAATAGACTTGGGAGGGTTACAGAAATATTCCAACCCACTAAATTCTAAAACACACTAAAGCCTCGTGCAGGCACATCGGATTCTTTTCTTCACTGGATGCTAATTTCTCAGCAACCAAATTAAAGGATCACTATGTCATCCTTGGGACCCCCCACCTTGAGGGCCCCCCTCCCTTGGCACTGAAGGGGTTAAAACCCCTTAAGTTACCTTAATCAAGCGCCGGGCTCCCTCGGCGATGGTGACCTCTTCTCCTCCGCTGATGTCAGCTCCTAAGTGGAGTGGAATGCGCATGCACGGCAAGAGCTGCACACGCATTCAAACAGTCCATAGGAAAGCATTTCTCAATGTTTTCCTATGGACGCTCTGTACGCAGGATGCGAATTTCGCATCCAGCGTCGCAGAAGCACCTGTAGCGGCTGTCAAGAAGACAGCCACTACTGGCTGGATTAACCTTGCAATGTAAACACAACTCTGAAACTGCTATGTTTATATCTGAAGGGTTAAAACCTGGGGGACCTGGCACCCAGACCACTTCATTGAGCTGAAGTGGTCTGTGTGACTATAGTGTCCCTTTAATGTATTCAGAATAAATCCAAATGATACCTTTTTTAAATGTTAAAAATTCTGCATTTATCTCTTGGGCACTCTTGCACATTTGTTATGCCAGAATGGCCTTACGTTATGTTTGATTGAATATTAATAATTAATAAATTGAAAATTAATACTGTATAATTAAAGGACCACTATAGTGCCAGGAAAACATACTCGTTTTCCTGGCACTATAGTGCCCTGAGGCTGCCCCCACCCTCAGGGTCCCCCTCCCGCTGGACTCTGGGGAGAGGAAGGGGTTAAACACTTACTTTTCTCCAGCGCCAGGCGGGGAGCTGTACTCCTCCTCTCCTCCTTGCTCGCGACGTCATCGGCTGAATGCGCATGCGCGGCAGGAGCCGCGCGCGCATTCAGCCGGTTGCATAGGAAAGCATTTACAATGCTTTCCTATGGAAGCTTGCGTGCTCTCACTGTGATTTTCACAGTGAGAAGCACGCAAGCGCCTCTAGCAGCTGTCAATGAGACAGCCACTAGAGGCTCTGGAGGCTGGATTAACCCTCAGTATAAACATAGCAGTTTCTCTGAAACTGCTATGTTTATAAAAAAAAAGGGTTAATCCTAGAGGTACCTGGCACCCAGACCACTTCATTAAGCTGAAGTGGTCTGGGTACCTAGAGTGGTCCTTTAATATTGTAATGGGTGGAGTGGACCTATTTAAATTTTTAGATTTAATATGCTGGTATCTTGCATAAAAAGTAGTTTAGTTGAAAGAAATTAAAACTATATTATAAACTTCATTTGTATTGCACAATTATAATTAACATTGACAAGACAATTCCCTAAACATCACATATTGGCATAGTGTTTACAGCAACATCTCGTAGACCGTTCTTTATCAGTTGTATTAATTATGTAAGTTTTATTTTTATTTGGGAAAGTGACAGAAACAAACCTATAAATTAAATCATGAGGGTTATTGGATAGTAGAGAAACACAATATGGTGAGTTGGGGGTGGTGGGTACTAATTAATGTCTTAAGGTGTTTTAGACAAGCTCCTGGGCAGTCAATATGTGGTTGATGATGTTCATGCCTGGAGGGATACTCCAGGAACAATAACAACTTTATCTAAATTATGTTATGGTGCCAGGAGTTCCCTATGGCGCAATTCTCAACTCCCCCTCTCCTCCTTCCTCTCCCAGGCTTTCCAAGCCAGTTTTGTAAATGAGGAGCAAGTGATTGGCTGGGAGCTAGCTAAGCATCATGGGAAATGTAGTCCATAAACAATTTATGGTGTCAAGGTTAGCCATCACTGGTATAAGATTTGGATGCTAAAGCACCAATATTAATGTGGACACCGAATGCATCCAGGCGATTGCTGCAGATTTGCTTGGGCTCAACGAATTATGACCATATTTGGCTTTAGTAAAAATGAGAATTGTCACTACAGTTGTAATTGGCAAATTTTTACCTGATTTTGTTCACAATCTGGTGTTTAGTGAACATGGAAACTAGCTATGGCTTATATTACTATATTTCTCCTCCAAAATATATTTATTTTATTTAATATCAATCCTTAATTTAATGTCATATGCAAGGCTGCCAAAGGACCGGTTTGCATACAATGTAAACCCATGGAGTTCACTGATTGTGCATTCCTTGCATGCGTTCATGGTCCAATATTATATGAGGACTATGAACAAGTGCACTCAGGGGATCATGAGATAATTATGGTGCCAGTAGCTGTATGAGGTCTGGATGTTACTTTCCCCCACATCTCACCTCGGTAAATGCTTCAGTTGAGGTTAGAAATCAATGAACAAATCTGAATAGGTGGAGGGATCTAATAAAATATATAGAAAACACCCAGGGTAGTGAAAATGTGCCAATATAAAAAAAACAATACAACCTATAAACAGAATGGGGAACAGACTTTAAAAATGAGACTGGAGTGTCTATAAACAGATATAGATATTTATAATACAAGAACAGACCACATATAGTGTAATATAGCTTTACACCAATGAGAAAAGGGGGAGGGGGTAGAAAAACACTTTCAAAGTAGAAATGTATTTGTGTGTCTCTCTCTCATTGGGCTATATCTGCTAAGGTGTATCCTCAATCCGCAGCCATCTTGAGATGAATACAAGAAGAGAAGTGCAGAATAGTGCAATACTGTATAAAAAAAATAAAATTTAATGGGTAAATGCACAATAGTTTCAGTTAAACAGGCATATCTCCCCTGCAAGTGGAGCACAATGAAGGAGGAGATCTCTCTAAGAGGAGAGGATATTGAGCCAGTGGATATACAAGCAGTAAAAAAAAAAAAAAGCAAATGGCAACTGTATGGTCAAATAATCCGACGCGTTTGGTGCAGTCAGGACTTTATCAGGGATATGTTGATTTCGAAGGCTGTCACCGAATATAGAGGACTCTGTAATAAAATAATCATTAGATTTATCTGTTTGTGGCGTGTGTTCCTTTTTGTGACTGCATATGCGTTTTTTTGTTTATTCGTTTTTTTTTTACTTAATCTTTATTTGTAGTTGTGCATAGATAGTGCATGACAGGCTTGCTATGCCACAACAGCTAAAGGAAGGTATTTTCTAAACTTAGTGAAACTGAAACCTTTATATGGCGTTCAATAGATCTGCACATTTTTTTTTATAAATTATCACTCATTACATAAATCATATCTGTATACAAAATCTCATAATTTTTAAAATATCAGTAACTATTTTATACAAAACACACACACATATATATATATATATATATTTTTTATACAAAGCCCATAGATTAGTCACATGGTTGAGAAGCAATATTACAGCTCAAAATTGCATATGCGTGTTTTGTTGTTTTTTTGCTTTATATTTATATATATATATATATATATATATATATATATATACATTTATTTGTTTATTATTATTTTATTATATAGCGCCATCAGATTCCGTAGCGCTGTACAATGGGTGGAGTAACAGACATTGGAGACAACTGGACACAGGGGTTAAGGGCCCTGCTCAATGAGCTTACAATCTAGAGGGAGTGGGGTATAGTGACACAAAAGGTAAAAGTAGTGGTACGAAGTAGGTTATTAGAAAAGTATTCACTGAGGGCTTAGTAGGTCATTTTTGACAGTTGCAGTAGAGGAGTCATGGGGGGGTGGGGGATAAAAACCTGCTAACAGTTTAATTAATATGCTTTCTTGAAGAAGTGAGTTTTCAATGATTTTTTGAATGAGTGGAGACTGGGTGAAAGTCTTACGGAGAAGGGAAGGGAGTTCCACAGGAACGGTGCAGTCTTGGAGGCGAGCATTAGAGGTGGGAGTACGGAGAGAGGATATATGTAGGTCTTTGGCAGAGCGCAAGGGCCTCGACGGGACATACTTATGTATTAGGGAGGATAGGTAGGTTGGAGCAGCATTATGTAGGAACTTCTAAGCAAGCACCAGAATTTTAAATTGAGCCCTATATCTAACTGGAACCAATGCTGGCACTGACAGACCGGGGAGGCATGGGAAGTGCGAGCGGACAGGAAAATGAGCCTTGCCGCCACATTCATAATAGATTGCAGCGGTGAAATCTGGGAACACGTAAGACCACTGAGAAGGGTATTGCAGTAGTCAAAGCAAAAGAGAACAACAGCATGAACCAGCACCTTCGCCGCATCCGGTGTTAAATAGGGGCAGATGCGCGCTATGTTTTTGAGATGGAAGCGACAGGATTTGGCGATTGATTGGACATGAGGGGTGAAGGAGAGGTTGGAGTCAAAAAGAACACCCAGGCAACGAGCCTGGGAGGTAGAGGTGATGGTATCGCCGTTGACTTGGAGGGAGACAGACACGGGAGTAGTAACACTTGAGGGAGGAAAGACCAGAAGTTCTGTCTTGGACAGGTTGAGTTTAAGGAAGTGAGCAGCCATCCAGTTGGAAATCGCAGAGAAAGATCAGGAGAGGACAGGTAGATTTGCATGTCATCTGCATAGAAATGATGATGGAAGCCAAAGGAGCTGATGAGTTTACCAAGGGAGGCAGTATAGATAGAGAACCAAGGACAGAACCTTGGGGGACACTGACAGAGAGTGGTTGGGGAGAAGAGGCAGAGTCAGAGAAAGAAACACTGAAAGAGCGCTGTGAAAGGTAGGAGGAGCATCAAGAGAGAGCAGTATCCTGTAGACCAAAATTATGGAGAATGCGTAGAAGATGTTGATGATAAACAGTATCAAAGGTAGCAGAAAGATCAAGAAGAATTACAATAGAGCAATGGCCGTGAGGTTTAGCAGCAATTAAATTGTTGGATACTTTGGTCACAGCCATTTCGACAGAATGACCAGAGCAGAATCCAGACTGAAGGGGGTCAAGCAGAGAGTTGGATTTGAGAGTCAGTCAGTGTGGTGTACACAACTCTCTCCAGGATCTTGGAGGCAAATAGCAGTAGCGAGATAGGGCGGTAGTTGGATGGGGAGTTGGGGCCAAGGTTTGGCTTTTTCAGAATCGGGGTTACAGTTGCATGTTTGAAGGGTGAGGGAAATGTGCCAGAGGAAAGGGAGAGATTAAAAATTTTAGTGAGAGGAAGAGCAAGAGAGGGAGACAAAGTGCGGATGAGATATGAAGGAATAGGATCGAGGGAACAGGTGGTAGAGTGGGAGGACCAGAGCATAGCAGAAACCTCTTCTGCTGTAGCAGGTGCGAATGAATGTAGAATGGTGGAGGGAGTGGGGTTGGGTGATATATTGGTAGGGGAAGGAGAGAAATTAGAGATCTCTTCTATGATTGTGGAGATCTTCTCAGTGAAGTAAGATGCAAAGTTTGTGGTGGACAAGGTGGTAGAAGGAGGGGGAGTAAAATGCTGCAGAAGAGCATCAAAAGTGTGAAATAGGTGTTTGGGTTGATGGGACAGTGTACTTATGAGGGTGTTAAATTAATTTACTTTTGCACTGGAAAGAGCCAGGCTGTAGGAGCACAGCATAAATCTATAGTGGAGGAGGTCAGATGCAGAGTGAGACTTTCTCCAGCAGTGTTCAGCAGTTCTAGAACATTTTTGGAGGTAATGGGTCAGCTTTGTGTGCCAGGGTTGTAATTGGGGGCGCTTGCTGTGTTTAATTGTAGGAGGTGCCATGATGTCGAGTTGAGAGGAGAGAGTTGAGTTGTAGAGTGAGGTTACAAAATGAGGGCAAGTTAGATTTGAGATGGGTAAAAGGAGATTTTGGAGTTTGGTGGAGAAAGGCAGTTGAGGTTTCTGCGAGATTGGAGAGTTGAGCGTGGTGAAATTTGGGTACGGGGTATGCTGATGTCAAATGTTTATATGTTAGATGTCAGAGAACACTGATCTGCCTCCATATAATCGTGATAGTGTCTCTTTAAGCAAAGCCGTTATAACTGTGCTGGCCAAATAGTTGAAACTTGTAACCAGGGGTGATGACCGTGTGTGTTTTGTTGGCAGGATAAATCTTTATCTGACATTAATGAATAACCTTCTGTATTGAATCTCGAACCACAGAAAGATCACATGAATAGCTAATAATGGCCAATACTTTGCAGATAATGTGAGCATGCAATGAAAACCGATATGGTTGGCTTTCACCCAAGATTATTAAGCTGCGGGTGGTAGTAACGTTTAGATCACTTGATTTATACAATAGTGGTTTTTATTTAATCAAATGATTTTTTTAAATACATGACATCATGTTAAGTAACATAAAGGAAGTATATTTACTAAGCCAACTGGATATCATACCTTTACACTCTCAGCCTGGATCCCTGAGTGTTGATTATTTATGGAGATCTCTCTTTGTAAGTAGGGCTTATTTGACAATATATGGGGGAGCAAAATCACCTTTTGCAGTGCCAAAGTCTCACTGAAAAGGTGCCTTTTAAAAAAAAGAATTATGAAAATTAACTATTAAATAGAAATCAAACCGCAAGCATAGAACAATAATATTCTGATGGGACATTGCTAAGAGTCCCCTCTATTTAATCACACAATA